GTTTTTTTGAACTACATGTTTGGATAGTATTTCCAAAGTCAGTCTTAGGATATCAATTAAAATATCCACAGTCCATTCATGGCCCTTTACAATCACATACACGATACATAGTATAGGAAATGACAACTACATATTCCCTAATCTCTTTATTTACCTTCTTTAGTTCCCTTTTCCGAGCTTCCTTCCCTACAGGGGAAAAGAAAAAGAAAGTAACAACTTGAAAGACAAAATCAAATTAATGAATAATCTTCCCTTCATCAAGACTAGGGCTGTTTCTCAACAGCTCACTCATTTTACAAGGACTTACTGCAACTCAGCTTCCCAGAGAAAGAGAAATATAGCATGAGATTGATTTATATTTCCTGTCTTTTATAAAAAAAAAAAAAAAAAAAAAAAGATGCTGCAGTCTTCATGTCTCCAGAAGCAAGGCTTTTTCCATACAAAAAAGAACAATAGGCAACCGAAGTCATAGTGATAGGTGCAGTCATGGAAAGATTGCTGCACAGAAGCTGAAATAGAGTCATCAGACAACACACTTTAAAAATATGTAGGCTTTGAGAATGCCTCTGAAATAAAGCATATCCACTGTGGGAGTCCGGATTTTCTTTATTCAGGGAGCATTGATAGCACCTGGCATGTTACCAAAAATAGAAAAAAACAGTAAGACAACTCCCCCATCTAACCAGAGCATCTGCAAAATTTGACATGCTCCTCAGATTCCTGCCTGGGACAGATTAACTCTGTCCCAGGAAGCAGCCTGCAGTTTATCCAACAGCTAAGTACAAAGGCCTTCCAACACTGATAACCAGTGGAAAACCAAGAGGTAAATACTTAAGAGAAGCAAGAGCATGAAAGCAAGCAGCCTTCCCAGACAAAACCGAGATAATACTTTTCAAATTAGAGAAACTCACTTCTATCCTGAGGATTCTATTCTCAGAGAAAGCTTTTTACCTTCTCCTCTGGGCACTCCCCATTCCCCCCTGCTCAGCTTTCATGGATACTTACGGGCCTGATCTGTGGGATTCATAAACTTCCCACTCTTGGTGGACGATGTAGATCTCCGCCCCATTTTGATCTTTTTTCTTCTGCCTCAAAAAATGAAACTTAAAAAGGAGGGAGAGACCTGGAAAAGATTACATGGTTTCAGGTCCTACACACTGGTAGCTTGAGGATGCTTGTTTCTCTTCTGTCTATCAGCAAGTTACTCCCTCAAAGAGGCCAAATACCTTTAAGGTTCTCAAACCTGTATCAAAACTCCCTTACTCCAACAAAGTACTACTACTTAACTTAAGTACCTACTTATTGCTACTTTAGTAGGTTATAATTTTAAGCTAATTGATGAGTTTGTTATTATTCACATTACAACTCAAACCAATAAGCTTTGTGCTTACAGTACTGAGGGCTGCAGGGTAAGGAAAAACAAATATTTTATTTTTCCAAGAGCGTATCAGAGTTTATCTTCTCTTTCACTCTTGTAAGTGCTCTCCAGTTTTCACCTTCCTCCGTTTCAAATGTTTCCCCAAAAACCTTCTCCTTTCCTCAGACTTCTAACTGCCCCTGGTATCTCTCCCCAGCCCCCACTGTATCAGCAAATGTAGGATTATTCTGCAAAAAATTATTTCCTGTCTTTAGATATTTCTCCAGCTTACAGATGACTACATAAGTGTCCAAACTACAGTCAGGGATGTTTCTTCTCTCCCTCCTCCTCCAGAACTACTTCCCTGCCAAAGCACTGGGGTGGGTTTGTTTTACTCTTTTGCAAGACACTATCGCTTCCTTAGGTGGGAAGCTCACCAAACACAGGTAGGAGTTACATTTACACCCTCTATTTCCCATCTTTCTAATATTTAAAGGCTTCAGGGAAGGAGAACAAACTTCTGAAACCTCGACTTCACATCTTCTAAGGACCCAGACTAAAGAGTTCCAACGCGACAAGTTAACGGCTGAAGATGAAAAAAAAATATATATAATCAAGCACGAAATTCATTATTCTTTTGGCCACAGGGGAACGGGGCAGAAAGCCCCCCCTCCTACTCCCGCCCGATGGCAGGAGGAAGAAAATGAGAGAGCGCGAACTGCCGCCTCCTTCTCCTCGCCTCTCCTCTCCCCGCAGCCCAGCCCCGCCGCGCCCCTCTCACCCCCGGGCCGGCCGGGCCCGGCTCCGGCTCCCTCGGGCCGCCGCGGCCTCGCTCAGCCCCGCGACCGCCGCCGCCGCGGCCCCGCCGCCATCTTGCACCGGCACCGAGTGGCGGCGCGGAGCCGCGCTCCGGAAGCGGCGGCCGCGGCTCGATGGTTCCGCCGCCGCTCGCTCCCCCTCGGAGGCCTCAACTCTATGGTTGGGCCTCCGAGGGGCGGGAAGGCGGGGCGGGAGCGGGGACGGGAGCAGGTCGGGACAGAGACAGGGATAGAGATAGAGACAGGGACCGGGACAGAGGTAGCGATAGAGACCAGCGCCCAGGCGGCCCCGGCGGGCTCTGGGAGCGGGTGGACACACGCGGTGCGGGAGAGATGCTCCCGTACGGCCAGCGCTGGAAACAGGGCAGCGAACGCGGCCAGCGCGGCCTCTGCCCCCTCACGCTCTGCAGGAGTATCCCCCAAAGTGCCCCCCGTGCCCTGAAACAAGGCAGAGCCGAGGGACCTGTGGGGAGCTGCTGTCCGTGTGTGCAGAGCGCTGTCCATAAGTGCAGAGCGCTGCGGGGGCAGGGGCTGCTCACAGCCTCAGGCCCTTCCATGGTTTATTGAGGGCTTGGCCTCGCGGCCCAGCAGCGCTGCTCCCCTGCGAGCGGGGCTGGGACCCCTCTGTACAAAGAGAACGGCAGAGATAATCTGATGCCGTCGGGCACCACACAAGCTACTCTGTTATTTGTCTCTTCCTACAGCCCCCGCTGTGGTGAACTGGCGAACAGCTGGTGGGAGCTCTTTTGTGTCATGGCCCGAAGCACAGTTTCCAGCAAAAGTCCACAGCACGTGAAGAACCAGGATGAAGATGCACGAAACATCAATGTGCAAGCAATAAAGTACGGGTGCAGACTTAAAGAACTAGCATGTTAGGGAGGAGATGTAGGGAGGAAATTCTTCTCTGCAGAGGTGGCATCTGGGAGCAGAGGTGGTCAGATCCCTGAGCAAGATTTCTAGGCTCCCTGCTCCTGCAACATAATGTTGCTATAATTTTTCAAGTAATGGAGACTCAGTTGACTAATTTGTAAGGATCATTGCCGGATGGGTAAAGGACTATAAGCTATACATCCCATTAATGCCAGCATTTAGTCACAAGGTGCACAAAGTCAAAATCAAGGAGTGTCCTCAGAGCCAAGGCTTCAGGAGCTCTCAGTGCCTACAGAGTCATGCTAACCACACGCCCAGCATGGTCACCCCCACCTTGTACCTCTTTGGCATGTTCTCTTTGTATTATTCTTGTCACCAGAAAAAATGTTCAGCAGGCAGATTTTGGTTGCAACTGTACTGTTTTTCCACGTAGGTTTGGAAGCAGCTTACACTGGTTTGGGCTGGTTTACAGTTTTTTTGAGGCTGTTCTTATTTGGAACACATATCACAGTTTTAATTCTTAATCCTTTTTCCAGAACAACAGCTTGAGTGAAAGCAGAACACTCAAGAGGATATGATGGAAAGCTGTGGCCATCCTGACATCCCTGTCAGGTGCCATGCCACTGTAGAGGGGGATGGCTGAGTCTTCAAAGGTTAACTGCACCTCACAAGGCTTGGGGTCTTCTGTCCTGGCAGTCCTGGGCTCAGTAGGGACAGTGGCACTGCCTCAGCCCTGACTGCTTTCTCTCAGCAGTGTTGCTGATTTGGAGGACAATAGTCCTCTCATGTTTTTCACTTGATACTTCTGTCACACTGAGAGGCAGCTTGAAGTAGTCTGGAGGGGAAACATCAGCAGACTGGTTATGACATCTTTGGAGCACCAAACATAAGACTAGCCAGAGCATTAGAGAGAACAGGAATTAAATCTGTTTAGGGGAAACCCGCTTTCCTTTAAGTCCACCAGGAAAAGGATATGCCTAGAGGCGAGGAGCAGTTTTATTCCTCTGTGTTCCTCATTGTGTACCTCACTTCCCCTGACACTGCTTTGCATTTGCATTTAAGAACACGTGGGCAAATTGCTTGAAAAATACAACAGATTTGTTTTTCTTTGACTCCACTATTCTCATGCAGCAGTGATTGGCAATCTCTCAAAGAGCTGATTTTAATTCCTAGTTTAGAGTGTGCATTTGCACATAGAAAACAGGAGCCAGGAACTGCCTCTCCAACACACAGATATTGCTGTTCTACTGACTGACAGTCTCTTGCCTCTGCAGAAGTACCTCTAAACTGAGCGCCATCTGTGTCAGGAGACAAGAGATGTTTCATCTTGGAGAAGTGATGCCTCAGGTCAGCACGTCATCCACCACAATACCTCGTGCAGGCAAGGCAGTGCTTTTTGCCACCACTAAAGTGCCTTTCCGGACTCACATAGCCCAGTCTGCAGCTGGTCCCAGTTTCTCAGGCCCTAGCACCCATCTATGCTCCTGAACCCTGGGCTTTCTCCCTGATGACTCAGCAGAGCTGTTGGGAGCCAGCAGTTTCATTGCCATCTAGTGGCTTTTGTGCATAAAAGGGAAGAGGAGTCAGAAAATATTATAGAGAAGAGAGTAAAAACCCAACAAAACAAACAAATAAACCCCCCAACCCCAGAATGGAAGGGTTGTGAATCTCACCTATTCCTTTATTTCATAGGCACTATCTAGTTATTAATAAATTAAGATTGCTAATATTGAATATTAGCAAACATGTATGAATTGGGGCATGGTTTTAGTATGGGGGAAGTGGGTACTAAAAAGAGGAACCTATGCACAACCGTACTAGATTTGTCTATCACGGATTTAAAAAAAATTAATTGCTTGTATAATTAAGCTTTTAGTACTTCTTTATTAGTTGGTTTAAGATTGGTTTTCAGACAAAAAAAAAAAAACCAAAAACAAGTACAGAAAAGAGAAGTCTTCCAATACTCATGTACATTTTTATTAATTCTTAAATTACCTTTTTTTCTAAGATCAAGAAAAAACAATTCACAGCAAATCAGAGCAAGACACTACAAATAATGTTCTTTCTTCCAGCTTTGGTTTTAAAATCTGAAAAATAAGGACAGTTGGTGGCATATTGTGAAATGCAGAATCTGAGCACGTTCTTGGCAGTCCCACATTGGTGGGATCAGGTAAAGCGCTTGAAAATAACTTTCGTTTAATAGGGCTGCAATCCTACAGCACTTGTACATGTGTAATATCCCACCCCAATCAACAAAAGAGCAACTTTGCACAGAAACTTTTACATGTGGGTTGGCAGGAGCAGAGCATTACAAGCACAAGAGGTTATTCATGGCCAGGCATACCCAGAATGCTGCAGCTGGTTTCTCTCAGTGGTGCAGCAAGGTTGTGTCTGTTTGCATGTAGGCCCAGGCTTCTCTTACTTGCCAATCTACTGGGATTAGAGTTTATTTAAAGAAGATCTCTTGCTGGCTCCTTAGGAGGGCAGAAAATAGCAGTTAAATATGCTTCAGCTAGTCCTTGTAATTGAATTCAGTCTATCAGATTAAGCACTAAACCACAGTAAGGGTTTAGCAACCACAGATGTCTTCATAAAGCTTCCAGATGCTTTGCCTTGTTGAAATTGTTTTCTCCCATTGTGTTGTCATCTTTGATACAGAAACACACCTTCTCACCACTACCAGTTCAGCAGTCTGTATCATTGTCTCCAGTATGAATTACAGTTCAAGGTTACCTACTGTGCTTCCCAGAAAATAAGCTTAAGGAAAGGTGCAAAGTATTTGAAACACTGCCCCCCAAAACACCTGTAAACCAGTTCTCTATTAATGTATTTCAGTGCCAGTTCCCTGAACTGTCACTTTTCTTCTTCTGCTGCCACAAATAAGAAAATAAAAAGCCATTAGTAGTTTGTTTGTCATAATGAATCAAAAAGGTTTCTGCAGGCATAAGCTGCTGCAGCTGCTGTGACAGCAGAAGAGAGAACTCCACCTTCATTTACTGAACTTGCTGTCTCACCAAAGAAGTCACTTCATGTATGGCACGCTGGTACTTTTCTGAGGCTGCTTTAAACTCAGCCAGGTGCTTCTCATAGCTCCTCACAGCTGTCAGAAGCTGGCTTCTCTCCACAGCTCCCAGGATGGCATGGAGAATCATCTCCAGGCCCAGCCCAATGATGGTAATGCTAACTCCCCCAAGAACAGAGGCCCCAATCTGCGCAAGGACACCGATGAGCTTGCTCACAGTGAGAGTTAAATGATCGGAGCCAAGAAGTTTGATGGCTACCATTGCAGCTGTTGAAGTTGCTTCTCCAAAAATAATGGAAAAAACTCTCTGGGCTATTGCAATTTTCTCTAGCTCGGGCTCTTTGATATCATATAGCTTCTGGTACAGCACTGGCTCGAGCTTGTCCTTCATGTCACTGTCAATCTTCTGCACCTGGTGCTGAATCTCACTCATCACTTGAATGATAATCTCACAGTTTTCCTTGACTGTACTGCTCTCTCTCATCTCAATGGGGGTAATAGTGCAGCCCAGGTGCTCATTCAGCACTCCAGCCAGCTCATTTGTTGCATGGAAATTTGTGGACATACAGTCAAGCAATTCCTGGTGCAGATGGATCAGTTCTTGCTTTCTCTTGGGATTATCTGGGTAAAGGAGGTCACTCAATGCCATTCTTCAGAAATAAGCTACTTCAAGAGAGAAAAGAAATGTCTTACTCTGTTTAACACCCATAACCATAGCCCCTGAAGAGCAGTGAAATCTGCTTTGTCTCTGCCCCACTGGTTCTTTTCATACTGAGCAGGTCCAATCGCAAGGCATAGCTTGTAAATGTAGAAATCTTAATTCTTGTTCTGGATCTTTGCCAAGTGATTGGAAAAGGACCTTCTAAGACACTGGGTATGCTCAGAGCAACAAAATAGCTAACAAATATGTAACAAGCAGATTGGAAAATAGATGTGTGCCATTGGCAATTGAAGATTGAGATTGAAACTCAGCCTTGGAAACTGAAGATGGTAGAAGCTGAACTAGTTCACTAAAAAATGGAACAATCTCATCTAATCAGCAAAATTAAAGATGTGGCTTAAAGGATTGTTCCAGGCACTCTTTTGTATCAGCCTATTTTATCCATTTAGTGGCATTCAATTTTTCAGCAACCATGATGATTGGTGGATATGGTTTGTGCCACAATAAAGGTATTTTATGCCAGTATAGCCTTTTTCTTCTAACATTCAAGAGAAAATGATACTATATAAGCCTTCTGTGCTTATACTAAGAAGCTTACCCTCTGAATTCATAATGAATAGTAAAATTGTCTACAATAACCCCGTCCTAACCTATATCACCTTACATACATCTCTCACTGTATTTCCTTCCCTGATATTTATTTCTTCATAAACTGCATGCCAGCATGCCAACATAGAGTCCAAAGAGACTGAGTCAACAGTGATCATGGAGTAATTCCTCATCACTAAGATTCTGTAATCAGCACTGTCACTTCCTTTAACCTTTCACCAGCTGCAAAGTGAAAATGCTTTAACATTATTTCATCTTAAATGCAAGCATCTTTGCTACAGGGGAAAACTATGAATGAGTAGGATGACTCATTTCTTTGTTGGTACTTTTCATGGTCTCAGCCCTCTTATTGCAAATCTGGGCCACTTTTGTGCAGTGCTTTGCATTTTTCTAAGATGTTTCTCTTCTTGCTGTTAGTGCCTACATATCACAGTTACAGCTACAAATAGTTATGTGTAGGGGACTACCCAGATTTTTCTTCTGAAAAAGATACCTTTGTGCCATTTTGGTCCTTTGTAGTTCTTGCACTATCTGTTAGCTGCAAATCATCTGACACTGACCCAGCTGTATTTTACTAAACACACCCTCCCCCACAAGGTCATCGTTGAAAACCAGAATGATTTCCACAATCCCCTGCCAACTTTTAATCTCAGTGCTGAAACACAAGCCAGTCTGAAAAGAGGTTTTCTCCCCCAATATTTTGCACAGTATTGTATATTTCTTTCCGCCACTTACCTTGAATCTCTGCCAAGAGAATAAACTGCTTAACACATCTTCTTATACAAGCTGCAGGGAGCCAAATACATATACAGTAAAGGTTTGTGATTTTCTGGAAACATAAAGCCATGATAATGCAGGCTATGGTTTCATATCAATCCTGCCTCAGGGATGTTGCTGGCTTGCTTTCTGACTCAATGTGATACTAAAACCTTTCCACTCCAGTGCTGTTTTATTATAAGGTCATTTATTTTCCCTTATTGATAGAAACTGAGAAGACAAGTTGTTTTAGATGGAATAGCACTTCAACAAACATTTTACATACTCAGCAGGTGTGGAAAAGACTTTTAGAATCTGTTCATTACATATGATTACTTCAGCTTCTTACAGATGCTCTAGATTTTATATCTCCTAATGCTAAAATTACTTCTTACTTTTCACATTAGCACTTTCATTAGCTTTTATATTTTCCTTTTAGAATTAGGCAAGCCACATATATTTCTGTATTTCTATTTCTTAGCACTTCCATTAGGTTTTGTATTTTCCTTTTAGAATTATACAGGCCTTATATATTTCTGTATTTCTATTTCTCCAGAGATTTCTCTGTGGAGATTTACCACAGAAACTTTTCTAATTAAACATTTACACTGCCTACCTGATTTGGTCTGAATGCTCCTGTTGAAATGTGTATGGGATAGTAACTTCAGCCTCTTTCCCCTCTGCTCGCCTGGTGTTTTCCAGCAGCATGTGATGAATTAGGGATCTGGAGGCTGGGCTTCTGCTGCATCCTAATGTGCCTGTCATTAATTCTATTGTGTGATGTTTACCCAGATCCATCTCATTTTCTTCCTCCTCTCCCCTTCCCTCCAATTGTAATAGAATTCAGTTTAATTAATTATTAACTCAATGCTAGTTCCCAATTACTAGATCATCCAAAGGCCTTCTGTTCCTGGAGAGAATGGGTACAGCACAAATCCCTCCTGCCTGCAGCAGAGGTGCCATCACAGGCAGCTACAGCCATGGCTGAAAGGGGACCGTGTTACTTGCTGTCCTCAAAACATAAAAGGTGTAGGACAGCACAAGATTATGTTTTTTACTGGTTTCCATTGTTTATAAATATAAACACTAATGCTTGCACCTATGCCTTGAAATAATGAATTTTTGCAATGACTGTTTTTGTACACCTGCAAATTACATAAGAAAAATTTAGTAGTCCCACATAAACAGAAGAATAGACACCGCAGAGAGTGGAAACAGGCTTTGTCTGTTCCACTAAGACAAGCTTGTACATATGCCTTCAATCAAGCTAGACATCTTTCATGCTCTTGCTCTTAGAAAGGTGGACCTGCAGGCCACAGGGTTCTCACTAGGAACACTGCTTCCACTCTAGAGGAAGGCTGAGCTCTCAGATGAAAATACAAGATGAAGCATAAAATGTGCACTTTGCAATTGTTAATGTGTTTTCATCTGAAAGCTGAGCTGCTGTGTTCAACTCTAATGAACACAGAGTGCCAAACTCTCTTGTTGTCAGAGCTGTGGGCATGAGAACATAAGCTGCAAGAGAACACTAAATGATTTAACTGCTATAGTTCTGGAAATATCAATTAGTTGTGACTGCTGAGTATTTTCCACTGAGAATGCCATGTAGTCCTGAAATACTTGGTGCAATATTGAACTGAATTGATCAGGCTGGCAACTGCCTGTGTGTCACATTCTGGAAACTGATTTCAGGTCTTCTGTGCTTGCAGTGGATACAAATTCTTTTCTTTTAGAGCCCTCATCATTTGGAACAAGACAGAAAATAATTTGAACAATATGAGGACAGTTTTGTTCCTGCTTTACTCTGGATCTTTTGGGAGGATTAATAGCTATTATTGCAGGCCTATTAAGTTGGAGGAAAATACTCAATTTGGGGTGTCAGTCATCCTTCCTTGCTGCAGTTTGCCAGGTCTCTGATGCCATGAGAGTAGAGGTGCTGTGGAGGCCCAGACTCAGCTCTGAACAGCAGTGAAGGCTAAAATCAATTTTGCCATTTCGTGCAATTTCAGACCCCTTTTGACATGGGAAAGAAATGGAGGAAAAGGCAGATGGTTGAACTGAGTTCTGAAAATAAGGTTTTGAAAGTATACAGTGGGACAGGAAGTTGCAATTGCTTGAACACTTCTGACTACACATCTAACCACAGCAATAGCTGATGAAATGTCTGCTGCAACCAGCCCAGCTTTACAGGGCTCTGGCACAAGCAAAGGCAACATCAGGAGCAGTCTCTGAGCTGCACACTATCCCAGGACTGTATCTCTAGTTGGCCTTGGGAGAATTCAGAGGTGCAAGCAGAAGGACATAACTTTCTTAGCAGTCAAAATGGTATCATGATGAGCACCCAAGCAAGGAGAATGTTTTGTGCTTCCACCTACCAAGGGATGCTTGCACCATCTAGTCAGTGTATTAACTGACAAATAGAAATCACTTTCAAGGGAACTGTAGCCTGACAAAATGTGGCATTACTCAGTCTTCAATTGCTTTGTTCCTTAAATGTAGATGTCATGAGTTTGATTTTGCTGTGTCTATCCCCCCCCCCACAAAAAATGACTGTTCAGTTCTGTATAGACCCACCAGTACTTACAAACTGAAGGATTATAGTTCTGAGGATGATGCAAAGTAGTTGATATCTATGACTTATACAAATCTACCAAAAACCACCAAAATGTAAGAATAATTAATTTACAGCACTTCCCTTACTTTGGAGAATGCAAGTCAAAGTCATACTTCCTGTAGCCATCAGAGTAACAATACTTGCAGCTGTTTACACCATATTTTGCTGGCTGCTTGGTAAGGTCCCAGAAAAGGCTGTCAAGAACTTTTCCTATGTTTTCTTCCAACTAATATCTTGGGGAAGAATGGATCAGCTGGGTTAGCAGTTTGGATAATTGATTTCAGAAATGTAACAATCTAGCCAAAAATATATCCACCTTTATTCCTCTGTAATTCCCCTCTAATAACACCTTCTGGATTTCCTCTGTTTGCTTTTCAGAATCAGACACCACTCCAGAAATGTTAGTTCATCTTTTTTTTAAGAGTGGCAAAGAAAAGCTGTTCAGGGTCTGCCAGAATCTGCACAACTTAATGCACTTCTCTGTCTCTTCAGCCAACACAATAATCCAACTCCTCAAGCACATCTTGGCACCGCCTTTCCCTGCTCTCAAAGGAGATGTGCACAGCTGCCCAGTTACCCACTTGAATTTACTGCCATGGTGCCTTCCACATTCCACAGACTGACTCTTTCTCACTAAAAATAAAGCTATTAAGAGATCTGTAAGGAGTCCAAAGTCCCTGTGTGTCTTTCCTGTATGCCTCAAGAAAAAGCTGTCTCCAGTGAAGGTTGTCCCTGATTTAGTCTTCAGAAAGGCCATAGATAACCTTCCTCCTGCCTGAATGGTCCAGGGAATGTCTGTTTTGATGAACCAGGCTGAATGTTCCAGTCTCAACTGCAAAGTTGCAGCAGAAAGCAAAGGGAAGATTGAATCTTATGTAGCAGCAGGAACTCCAGAGGCTTCTTGTACATATCTGGATGTAGCCAGAGAATCAGAGACTGTGGGCCAAGCACAGGGAAACTCCAAGCACACTAGGGAGAATGGCAGAGGCAAGTGCAGTATAACCACTGTTCTTGCTTCTTGAAGCTGAAAGAAAATAAAGAGAGCAGTCATTTAGACCTCTATTCACTGCCTAAAGCTTTTTGGTTTTGCTAACACAACCTTTGCCCACAAAGGCCATTTTCTCAACTCCATTATTTTGGCTTTGGAAGCACAAACCCTCATTCCTAAATGATTGTTTTCAGCTCAAAGATCGCATTGACACACTGCTGAACAAAGAGACAAAAGCAAGAGTCCTGGACTGGTGGTAGACTCACAGAAAGGCAGGGATGTGAAACAGGCCCCATGAGGTATTCTAGCATAGAGCTCTCTCTATAACCAGGAAACTCAGTGTGTTCTTTGTCAAAAGATACCTTTTCTCCCTGCTAGGAGACAGGTCACTGCTAAAATGACAGTAGCTTTGTTTACACTTATCTCAGCTTGCCAGAGATAAGTGTGGAAGTGTTAGCTTGCCAGAGTAGTAGTGGACCAAAGCCTAGAATAGTCCTGAAATGTGAAGTGTAGCAGCATTGCAAGACACCAGCATAGATTACTTGGTTCAAGCAAATCTCACCCACTCTTGCAATAACAATGCTGGGGACACAAAGCCATGAGTCCTACAGCATCCTTGCAGTGACACTTGGGATAAATTGGGGCTGCAAAGAACCTTGAGACCTGCTGTTGATTCATCTTTAGTGAGCTGTGGGATTGTCCCAGGTTTCACAGCAAACTGTGAAACAGGGTAAAAGCTGGGTCTTGTGGTTCTCGTAGGCAAACACAGAGGTGAGCTACAGGTTTGGCCTTGAGTGTGGCCCCATGTGGGTGCAGCTGGTGAGGGCTGCCTGGGGCAGTGGAGAGCAGCCTGTCCTGTGCCCCCTTGCATGAGAGCCTGTGTACAATACCTTCCACCAGCTGGCACTGGTACTTGCTGTAGTTCCCCACCGAATGCAGATGCAGCCGGTTACCCTGCTGGGTTTGAAGGAAGCTTTTGACAAGAAATATCTCATAAGGGGGAATGAGGACTTCCTTCTCAGATGTGTGGTAAGAAAAGCCTTGCATAGCTGCTCCCAGGCAAGTGGTCACTGTGAGCAAAGTTTCATTCCCAAACTTCTGAGCTTCACTCCTGAGGTGGGAGGTAGAAGTGAAACGGCCAAATCGCACCCTGCTGCCTTCCTTGGCCTCGATATATAAATCCTTTACACCCCTGTGCACCTGATAGCACTTATGTTTCCCCATGCTGCTCTGCCATTCCTTCAATATCTGGATTGCAGTTGTTAGGTAGAAGTGAAAATATTTAAAGCTGAAGTTGTGCCTGTAGTGCTCTGGAGAGATTCCTGCTCTGGATGTGGCCCAGTTCAGCTGGGAGTGCAGGGAGGAGTTCATGGTGTAAGCCATGAGAGCTGTGGCATGGCTGTCACGCATTTCCCTCAGCAGACCGACAGGGCTCTTCAGCAAAGCCTCCTGAGCCTTCTTCCAGAGACGCAGGTAGTCCTTGTTAGCAGCTATTTCCTTTTGGAAGTAGTCTCCTTGCTCCAGTTCTTCCATCATCTCCTCTCTGCACCCCAGGTACTGGTCATCAAAGGATTGCGGAGCCATATCCATCAGGATGGGGGACACAGCCTGCAACACAAAAGCAAATGAAGATAAGCATCAGAAGTGTGAATTTCTTGTTTATCTTTGTGGATGCAAGCCAAGTTTTTCCCTACCCTTTCCTTGCCTCTTTGTCATTATTGGCAGAGCAAGCAAGGCAGGTAACAAATCTTTAGCAAAACCCTCCTGAGCAACCTCAGGTTGTTGTCTATACACCACCACAGGTCAGGATGACAGAGTTCTTATTTGATGTGGATGTGCTATGTTAGAATCTCCCAGGAGCATTGGCCAATTTAGACAGGCTGGAAAAGGAGAGGAAAGATTCCATGAGATTTACTCACAAACACTCAATGAAATCATCTGGCTGCAAACAAGAGGAAAATTCCAACCAAGTAACTAAAACAAATTAAGACAGGTAAGAAATGGAACAGAGGAACTGAAAGCAGAAAAGTTAAAGTTGAACCCAAAACTCCTCAAAGAACATATTTCAAATGGAAAAAAATATTTCTGCGGTATAAGCAATTTCATTATTTCAAATAAAGAGCAATATTTACCTCTTTTACCAGTATTTGTGAGAAGATCAGCAACAGGAGGCTGCCCAGTGTCACCAGTTTCCCAGAGTCCACCCAGGACACTGTAAAGAACATTTTTTTTTTTAAGGAAATGTAATTTGCACCTGTTTCTTTCTGTTTTTTCTTTGAACTGGAAAATTCTGCAGTTTGTAACTTGCGCTCAGGTTTTGGTGGCTATTCTTCAACCAGAGATAGATCATTTGCCAAATTCTCACTGCAATTCAGAAGTCATTAATCAATCCAAGCAGACAATTTACTGGTAGAAATGTGCCCAAAATCCATAGGGAAGTGTCTGGTTGCACTAACTTCAGCTGGCATGAGTGTCCATCACCTTGACAGTTCTTTTGATTCCAAGGTATTTGGTGTTGTTCTTGCAAAAAGGAAGAAAACCATGGCTTGGAGAAGTCTAAGGCACTTCTCCTGAGGAGTGATGTGTCAGGCTGACTGCTCCATGGTTAAGAGTTTAAAAGCCCTTTTAAAGAAGTTGACTCTGATAAAGCCAACACAGAAATGCAGGGTAGGTTGGGGTCCCATCTGGAAGCAGTGATAACCTAACTCTCCTCCTCCTCCTCCTTATCACCCCCTGCTTTCTACTCCTGGGTTGCCAATCCTCCTCCTACAGCACTGCAGAGTGGCACTTTGCTGACTGTTTGCAATGGCACAGGCAAAATGAGTGTGTAAATGAAGATCCCGTGCTGAGACAAACCTTTCTCTAGCAGCTGCTTTCTTTCACCTTCCAAATACTGGCAGTGAGTTATTCACCCACAGAGCCCCATGGCCTCTTACAACTCTTCTGTATGGAAAAAGGGCCAAGAAAAGTGTCAAGGCTTCACAGAAAAATGAAGCCCATTTTCCATGGCCTGATAATGATAGCTTGGGTGAGGGGAGCACCTCCAGACATGGAGTGATTCCCTGAGATAAGGGAGGTTTGTGAAGCTGCTTGGATTCTGTGGACAGAGCATCTGCAAAATATTGCTGAGATAGGGTGGGGGGTGACATAAAGGTCTCATACTGGGCTCCTTTCAAAGCAGTTGCTGCTGGTGACATGAGGTGATGCCATGAAGTGCCATGAAGTGATGGATGCAGACTCCCTAGTTCTCCATCCTGGAATGTCTCTGTTGTCTTGGGCTGTATTTCAGAAAGTGGTTGTTTGACTGCTAAAAGTGAGTCCACAGGAGGGCTCACGAATTTATTCAGAGGCAACTCCACCTCTGTTTGTGTAGAGATAAAACAGACCTAAACTGGGACAGGCTCCCTTGGGAGCTTGGCAGTCATGATAAACACCCCCACTAAAATGTCAGTTCAGCTGCATATAATCCATTTGTAAATTATGTCCCTGGTTTTCCCCTCTGACCTGTAAGTGAATGTTTCATATGAAGGGAATCAGGAGGACAGGAATTAGCATTTCCAAACGCTTCAGAAGCAATGCAAGTTATTATTAACGACAACAAATACAAAGGCCGAAAGATGGCAGCAGAGGATTTGTGGCGGTGCTTAGCGCTGCATTGACAGAGCGACAATCGAATTCCTCCATTTCAGCAGTAAATTTGTA